CAACATGAAACAGATCAGCAGCAACATGAAACAGATCAGCAGCAACATGATGTGATTTTTTACAGTGATTATTCTGGTTAGATATTAATGAGTCTAACAGCTTCAGGGTAGAAGCTGTTCCTCAGTCTAGTGGTTCTACACTTAATGCTCCTCAACCTCCTTCCTTAGGGGAGTGGGGTAAAAACTGTGTGTGCTGGGTGAGTGGGGTCCTTCATGATGCAGGTCGCCCTCTTTCTGAATCTGGAGGTGTAGATATCTGTGATGGTGGGGAGACTGACTCCAACATCTTCTGTGCAGCCTTCACCACTCTCTGCAAAGCTTTCCTTTCTGCAGCTGTGCAGCCTCCATGCCACACGTTGATGCTGGAGCACAGGATGCTCTCCACTGCACACCTGTAGAAGGAGGTGAGGACTGAGCTTCCCAGACCAGCTCGTCTCAACCGCCTATATAGTTATTTAACCTTATATTCATAGGCTGGTGTCTCCCTGGACTGTGACTGTTGGACAGAACATAATAGTCTTTATTGTCTTTGCAGTCTGAACGATAAAATAAATTTTGGTAACTCAAGATTACATAAAAGAAAAAAAAAGTGAATATTCTGTTGCAGCTCATTTGGTTTCTGTCAGACCTCCTGCAGGTCACAAAACAGACCCGGGTTTACAGAAACTACATTAAGAAGGTTTGAGATGCCCACAACAACGGACTGCAAGCCTCTGTGACTCACGTTGGGAAACTGAACCCCCAGTGAAGGTGTAGACTCCCACCTGAAAGCTGCTCAACTGGTCCCTCCAGCAGTCGCAGCCCAGCGAGATGCTGATCTAACAAACTGCAACAGGAAACTTTGTGCAAGAAAAAGAGAGAGCAAAATCATCTGCCACCAACTGAAGACCAACACAGAGGTCTTTGAGAATTAGCTTCAAATTAGGGCTGGGCCATATCACATCGTTCACAATAATACTGGTAAAAAATGCTTGCCCGGGCAAATAAATGATATCATGATATGCTCATTTCATGATGTAATGTCAGGGCGCCCCGCCCCATTAACAAAAACAAGCGTGCCGAACGACTAAATCAAACTGCACACCCCCTCCTCCACCTGTCGGTACTGGTGTAACGCTAATCAGTTGTGCGCAATACTAGCTAAAAAGCTAAAAACAAAACGTGCAGCTCAGCTGTCTTTCCTTCCAGCTCTAAACCGCAGGTACAGACAGCTCAACTGTCTCTCCCTCCCCCCCCGCTCTAAGCTGCTGGTGCGGGCTGCGTCTCCCCCGCTCTACACTGTCGGTACAAACACGTGTAGGTCAACTGTCTCTTGAGTTCCACAGTCCATGGACCAAGAACAGAGTCAGGTGATCAGAGACAGAGCATCAGCGAAATGAATCATTCCTGCAGGAACAGAGGAAGCTGAAACACCAACAAGCTTCAGGGTCAGCTGATCACCTTGTTACAAGTTCTGGAAGTTATAGCTCATTTAAAGGCAACATATATTTTGTTGTATGTTGCCACTACTCCCCAGTTGGTGCTTCACGGTTCTGTCCATCAGGGAAGTGCTTCAGAAAAACGAACAAAGATTGGTTTTCCAGGATAGTTCCATGTGTAACTGAGGCCTCCCCCACACCCACCCACAAACAAACAAGAAAACAAATTGACACTCCGGTCGGTGTCTGTTCTTCCCCTGCCCTCTGCTTCTCTTCCTCTCTGCTCATGATGCTCGCCACAGTCGCACTGTGTAAAAAAACACTCTAGGTTTTTCCTCAAACACGCCTCCACACCCAAATGAAGCTGCTTAGGTCTTTCCCCAAAAAACACGGCGGAGGAACACACCTGTAGGTGGATCACACGTGTAGATACTTTATACTGCACTCAAATATGCAAAACTGTGTTAAGACCTTCTGCTCTGGTCGTCCAGTTTGAAACATTATCTCACGCACACGTGCACATATTAGTCTTTACAAAGTTTGTTGTTATTTCTAATTTATTTCCATATGTTTTGGATATTCGGGTGAAGAGAGGAGCTGAGCTGTCAACTCATCACCGCTTCTTGGTGAGCTGGATCAGATGCCGGACAGACCTTGTGGACCCAAATAAGTACGGCAGTAAGGATTTGTTCTGAGTGCCTGGAAAAAGAACGTCAGAAAAATCTTCAACTCACACCTCTGAGAACTTTAACTGCAACCCAGTAGAGACGGAGGACGTTAAATCCAAGTGAGCTCAATATTCTAAATTCTGCACCTCCATGGTCAAAGCAGCTGCCTTGAGCTGTAGCTGGAAGGTGGTTGGTGCAGCGTCTGCAGAATTCCAGACTCAAGGATCCAGGAGGTCTAAATTAATCGTCTCTGCAGGGTAGCTGGATTCACCTTAGAGATAGGGTGAGAAGTTCAGTTCTCCAGGAGAGACTCAAGAGTAGAACCGCTGTTCCATCACATCCAGAGACTGTTGAAGTGGTTCAGACATCTTGTAAGGATGTTCACTGGACGCCTCCCTAGGGCGGTGCTCCAGGCATGTCTAACTGGGAGGAGACCACAGGGATAACCCAGAACACGCTGGAGAGACTACCTCTCTCAGCTGGTCTGGAGACACCCTGGGATCCTCCCAGAGGAGCTGGAAGAGGTGCCTGTGGAGAGAGAGGTTTGGACCTCCCTGCTCAAACTGCTGCCTCTGGGATCTGAGTCCAGAACAAGATGATGGATGGATGCTTTTATTTCTGATTATTTACCCCTACAGGGTGTGTTGTATTAGTTACTGAATGTTCTTATCAATGCATTGACATACTTTTGTTGTAGTGTCACGTTCAAGTCTAGAGTTGTAGCACTTTGTAGTCTAAAAACAGGAAATACTCTTTGAAATACACACCAATCTGAATCCACACAAAACAAACCTCTGCATTTGCAGCTGCAGCTTCTGTGTAAATACGATTTGAATGAGCTCTTGAAACAGAGCCCTGCAGAACTTCCAGGTCAGGAAGTTTGTTTTTCAGAAATCGGGTTGAATCCATGAAGGGCCTTTTTGGATAATCTGAATATGAGCTGAGATTGTTTTTAAGAAAAGGACAACAGGAGTTGTCTGCTCTCACAAGAACATCTGGGCACTCGCTGCCTACAGACACCAACACAGCTCAGTTTGGACCCAACCCGACCTGATTTCTTGATATAGAGCGCGTTTCTGTCCAGTGCAGGACAGAGACAGTTGACTGTTGTTTGAGCAGCTTTGCCCACACACTGAGAAAAAGACAAGAGCAATGAACTCACCTGTCAGCCCCGTCTAACAGGAGGAGGAGCACGTTTGACCGTGAGTGCTGTTAGACTCGTGAATCTCTAACCAGGATAATCACTGTGAAAAATAACATGTTGCTGCTGATCTGTTTCATGTTGCTGCTGATCTGTTTCATGTTGCTGCTGATCCGTTTCATGTTGCTGCTGATCTGTTTCATGTTACTGTGTTCATGCGTGCTCATCTGCTCACACAGACTCATGTTCGTGCTGCTGTTTGACGTTATGTTTTTAAGTTATTAGTGCCAAGTGTATTATTTAGTTGATGTTTTTCTTAGTTCATATCTTAGATGTTATTACTGTTTTTCTTTTACATTTTATTGTTGGATGTAACTGGGTTCCTGCGTACACAATCTCGTTCCACCACATGTACCACATGAGATGCGAATGACAAATAAATCTCTCTCTGACTCTGAACGCCTTTGAATATTTAACACCAGAGGTGTGGAAAATAAAAAGCTCTTTGTAAAGTTGGAACAGTTTAAAAACTTGGATCAATCTGCAACTTTAAAGAAAACCGATGTGTGAACTGAGTTTTTACGATTTGTGAATTCTATTAGGCATGAAAATTAATTTGTTAATGTAAAAAACGCCATAGCTGAATTTTTAAGAGTTTTTCTGTCTCTGTAAACCAGTTTCAATGTTTCTGGATAAACCAGCTGCCTTCTGGTGTTTTATTAACAGAGTTGTATCAGTCATGTTTTTTAATCGCATCACAGCCGTCTGAATCATGATTGAATCGTGAGATGCCGTCAGATATCCACACAAAGGTATAAACAAGACCATAATTCTCTTTAAGGTTTGGTTCTCACCAGGCTCGTCAGCTATCAATGGCAACTGCTACAGAATACATCATTAATCGATGTTTTAAAGCCTCCTACCTGCGAGGAGGATGCTGTTGCTGCTCCCTCTGCCTGCCCTCTCGGGGGTTCGGGGGTCTCCCTGGTTCTCGTTGTGGGGCAGGTCTGCCCGCCCCACCGGCTCCTGGGCCAGCACTTGTATCCACCGCCTCTCTTGGATTGGGCGGAGGCTTGCCTCCCTCTGTCGTGGGTTTGGCGGACCTGTTCTGAGGTCCACTGGGGACAGGAGGACTGGGAGCCTTCTTCAAAGGTGGCTTGTCTCTGCGAGGAGGCGGTACCGGGCCTGGTTTTGGAGGCATGCTTTGAGGGGGGGAAAGGAACAAATACGGTATTTCACACCACAGAGCTGAAATCTGAATACAAGAACACGTCTGACAAGACTTTTAATCATTAAAGAATGTTTTTATTAAAAAAATTTAGCCTGACTCACAAAGGTTTGCAGAAAAATACCTGGAAATGACATTTATCATTAATATGTACTTGGGTGTTTTTCTTTCTAAAAATAAATGTATCCGTCGATGTACGGTAAATGAAAAAGTCTAATTTACTTATAAAGCAAATTTGACAAACACAAAAACTAAGAAAACAAAAGAAGAACGTTTGATCAGTTGAGATTTATTTAAGAAGTAAGAAAGGGATTCCCGTGAAACGCTCAGATGTAGGTGTCCTGGTTTAAAAACAACTTGTTCTGATTTAGGATGTGTACATTATCTTGGAGTTCAAGTTTGGAGCGCTTAATAAAAAAAAAAAAAAAAGATTCTGGGAAACAAACAAGAAGCAGAACATTTTTATTATTATTTTTGTGTGTTTTTAATTAAGTTAGTAGTTGAAAAATCTAATAAGAAAAGAGCTAAGACGCATCATAAAGTCCAAGTTATCCTGTTTTGGCTAATATAACATTTTAAGACAGAACAAAGACTAGAATTAGTCTAAAACATATCTAAAAATTAAATTGAGTTAATGTTTAAACGTAAATATTTTTATTGAGTGACTAACTGTTACAAAACAAACTTGATCTGAATTATCAGAGAAAACCTGCTGAGAAAATGTGAAAAACGTCATGTTGGTCAATATAATTACAGTAGTCCTTCGGTACTTCACGGTTCGTTTATCGCAGACTCGCTCTATCATGTATTTTCAAAATAAGATTGGACATGACACAACTGGCTGATTGATAGATGAGCCGCATGATCGGCATGGCATTTTTATTTAAAATAAATTATTTTAAATTATTTAGCACCTGCTACACATTTGTGCAGCCCATACTGCAGGATAGGCTTCCTGCTGCAGCTGATCAGCTGTTCACAGTGCAGAGCGGAAAAGTGGGCGTGGCCAAGAGCGACTGCAGGTGGCAAAGAGCAGACGAGGCAGAGAGCTGAAGTCATGACACTCTGTGCTCTTTTAGGGCATTTAGAAACATTGTTTAGAATATTGCAAGAGTGTGGGAAGGGTTTAAAACACCTCAACTACTACTTACTACCAGTACTTGTAATACTATTCCTACTTTGCAGTTTTTCCACTTATCGCGGGTCTTCAGGGTACAGATCCCCCGTGATAAACGAGGAACTACTGTAAATATAAATGTGGTGGAGAATAAATAGAAGTGATGAAGCGTTACCTTTTAGCTGACACAGGGGGGGCTTCCGGTTTGTTCTTGGCGGTCTTCGGAGCTGCTGGACTCGGTGAAGGGGACGAGGAGAAGGATCGAGATCTGAAACAATAAATTAAGCGATTCATTAAATCTGTTTAAAAGTGATTCAAATACTTTCTGTGGACAAATATCTGCACGTGCGCACACACACACACACCTAGAGCGGCTGCCGCTGAAGGAGCTGTGCTGGGAGGAGTGACTGGAGTAGGAAGAAAATGAGGAGGAGCGGCTGCGGGACCGAGACGTCCCGGAGCCCGTGTAGGACGAAGAGCGTGATGAAGACCTGCAACACGAAGAGGACAAACACTTCAGATTCAGGAAGGAGTGGGGCTTACACACCTTTCAACTCACACAAATAGGTCGAATAAATAAAAATATAAAAACATGCAAAATGACATTTAGTCATTTTTTATTTTTTCACATCAAACAGAATAAATTTAAAGCTTTAGATCAAAATACTGAATCAGTAACTGAATAAAAAAGTCAGGAGGTTCTGCTGCGCTGGAGCATACAGGTGTGAGTTAACAACACCAGGGTGGAAGGACATCAGCAATGACCTCAGAGAAGCTGCCCATCAATCTGGGAAGGGTCAAAGTCATTTCCTAACTATCTGGACTCCACGTAGAAAAAAAACATTTCAGACAGCTGCAATCTTCACAGCCGATTCACCCTGAAGGTCAGACCGTGCAGTGAGCTCCATCTCAGACCCTACAGGCCTCAGTCAGCAGGTCAAAGGTCATGCCCTATTCTCAGCTTAGGTTTAGAAAGGTTCATCTGAAGGAACCACAAGACTTCTGGGACAGAACCAGACCAAAAGTAATGATGATTACCCAGAATGCACTGCAGCAAACAGCAGCAAAGACTACCCCACCATGGAAACGAAACAATGCACTAAATAAAAACTAACAATTAAAGAAGCTCACACCTTAGATAGTGTTTTCCAGAATTTTACTCTTTTTCACAAAGTCCTTGCATCTGTTTTTAGACTCTGGTTCCAAACAATACAACATGGCAGCTCTTGTGAACCGGGTCCTGCAAACTTCAAGTCACAGCAGAAGAAGAAAGGAACATTTAATTCTTGTCAGCCCAAACACCTCATATGGAGCTTTGCCATTGTCTCAACTCTCATCGGTACCAGCCCACACGGCACCAGTTAAGGGCCTGCGCCTGACGACTCAGTACCACCCCCGCTCAGCCCGGTTTATGGGACCACCTTGTTCGTGGTTCCAAGCGGGCTGCTCCACCCGGCAAAACTACAAACTACATCTGAACCTCCACTTCCTCATCAGGTTGACGAACAGCATTACAAGAAATGAGCGCATTTACAGAGAGATCTCATAGATGACGGTGCAACACGGACTTATAAGCAGCGCTGAGATAAGCTAAAGAAATTGAATTCTGGTTATAGAGCGATAAGGACCACAAGGGGCAGAGTAGCTCAAATACAACGACCAGTTACAATCCCACCCACAGAGTGGGGAAACAAGCCACAGTGTCAAACCACCTCCACCTGAGAAGAACTGAGGAGCCGAGCGCCAAGTCACACTCATCGATTGTAAACACCTTAACAGCCGTCAGCTATATGAGGTGGTGGGGGCTGACGGTTTGGGACCGGGGCACTGTGACATCTCTGCATGAATGAAGAAGATGATCTACATGTTCTTTTATACTTTCATGACACAAGAACATTCAGTGCAACAGGAAACTACTAAAGGAATTCAGGAAACGATCTCATGGTGATGATCACCATTTGTTCTATCAGCTTATAACTGGAGCTCAGCTGGTTTCCAACAGCAAACATCAAATGTCAGCCAGTTTGAAGAGTGGTCTTCAGGCAGATGTTACAGCTCATTCTGGTTCTGTCCTGAGCCCGTCTGCACCTTTACTCTAAACATAAACTGGATCAGGACCAGAGTCTTCACATGAGAGTTCAGGGACGTCACCTTCTGATGCTTTCTAAAATTTTCATACTTGTTGATTTTTCAGCTTTTTTATTGTTTGGTCTAGAAAATCCTAAAACACCATTTCATGTCCCACACAGGTGAATATTTTATTAATCAAGACTCTGGACAAAGTTTTATTCTTCCCTTCCAACTAAAAGTTTTAGAACTACATTTAGGAATCAACATGAAGCTGCACGAGAGAACGATCAACTTTATGTTCAGGTTGATTTGATTGAACATTTGGAAGCTTTCCCTTCATGAAATTGCAGCATGATTGTTTACCTTCAGGCTCTTGTTGCTGCGTGTTTAAACAGAGTTCAGAGAGGAAACCAAACAGGAACCAAATCTCAAATAAAAAGAGTTCCCATGGAACATTTAGTAAATCAATAATGCTTCCTCACTCAAATATGCTGAAAACACGCAAACTGGGTTGTCAAAGCTAAAAGAAGCAAAACACAAAAAGCTAGCTAAGAGCTAAAAGTAGCTAAAGATTAGTTAAAGTCTCACTGCTCAAAGAGCTAGAAAGCTACAGTTCAGAGTCAACGCTCGGCAGAGGGCCAAGAGAGGCAGATCGTCTGATGACAGTCTCTGGGGGTTTTGTGTAAACACTCACAGAACCGCTGTGTCCAAAGTCTTCAGTTGAACTTGGAGCATTTTCATGGTGAAAGCAGCTTAAAGTCTTAATTCAATAATGAGCAACTGAAAACTAGGGCTGGGCGATACGGACCAAAATGAATATCTCAATATTTTTAAGATAAATTGCGATATACGATATATATATATATATCGATATTTGTTTCTTTCCATAAATAACAAAAATATATTTCAGAGTCAAATCTTTGTCCCAGTTGTCACACAGGCACATTTATTAACAACTGCTGTAACTGTACAAAACAAATGTAAAAAAAAAAAAAAAAAAAAAAAAAAAAATATATATATATATATACATATATATACATATATATACATAAATGCTTGTTTTTTTAGACATTTATTTACATATACAAGTACAAAAGTTAAATAAGTACATATATAAGTACAAGTACATTGTTGTCATTGTTTACTGTTACTGTTGTCTGTACTTTTTATGTTCTGTCTGGCACAGGTCCCTCTTGTAAATGAGTCCTCGTGGCTCAATGAGGCTAGCCTGTATAAATAAAGGTTGAATGAAATAAAAAGTTGCTTGTACTCACAAAAATATATTTCCGAGTCAAAGCTTTATCAGGCACATAGTGTATAGTAAAGAGCTATAACTGTACAAAATAAATGTTTAAAAAAATAACTATTTACATATATTAAATAGTTTATTTTTTAGACCTTTATTTACATATATTAAATAATAATCCTCTTCAGCTGCACTGCCTTCGTGACGTTAGTAAGCATGTGTGAAGCTGCAGCTGCAGGTCCGACAGACTTCAGCCTCCTTCCTTGAAACAAACCACGGTATGAAACTCATTTAGCTGCGCTGTGCGTTATGAGAGGAAAAGTGAGAGGTGGCACTGCAACATTAAAAAAGCAGCAGCTTATCATATCGCTAGTCCCAGTCTCAGCTGTGGAACAAGATGGCTAAAGCGTTAGCCGTCTTGTTAGCCGCTAAGAACGGTGTCTTTAGCGATATGAAAAGCTGCTGCTTTATTAATGTCGTGGCGCCACCTCCTCTCATAAGGCACAGCGCAGCTAAATGAGTTTTATACCATGGATTGTTTCAGGGAAGGAGGTTGAAGTCAGTCGGACCTGCAGCTGCAGCTTCACACATGCTTCATACTCCACTTATAGCGCCGTTTAAAATGATGAAAAAAGATTCGTAGTTCCAACCTTTTGTCGGGACTTGTTTTCGGCATTGTCTACAGAAACCATTTTTCTGCCCTTCATCTGACAATTTAAATCCAAACCATCTCCAAAAGAGCAGCCATTGTTTTTTTCTTTTTGCTCAGCTGCTCTTCATACATCTTCCGTGTTTACTTGTTGTGCTAAACGTCTTCCAACCACCTCCTGGAGAAGCAGGAAGCAGCGGGAGCTTGCTGCTGATGGGTTGGGTTTGTCTTCAAGGAGGGAGAAGGAGGGGGCTGCGTGGGAGAACGAAGACAGCAGGCGGATTTTCAAGTATAACACAATATTGTTTATAGCGATAATAGTCTCATCTTATATAAAAAAAAAAATTTATCTCGATATTTAAAAAAATATCGAGATATCGCCCAGTTCTAACTGAAACCAAGAGATCTTTAGGAATCAGGGAAAATCTGTCCCTGTTTGAATAAAAACCTGGACCAACCCTCAGATTTACTGCGTCTCTCAAGGAGCTGCGTTCCTGTGTTCAGACCACCCGTACAGGAACTTTCATAATGACAACAGCTTTTTATAAACAAACACACATTCTCTTTGACGCTCGTCACCGAAAGTATGACACAGATCACGAAGCTGTAAGAATACAGAGACAGGTTGATTAAAATGTATTCCTGTTTGTAACGTTTTAATTAAACAACTAAAACTTGCCCTGAATCACCATCTGGACTGCTGACTGGTAAAAACTGTATGGCTGGGAGTAGATGGTATTACAAATGTCAATGGCTCTTTTTGTGCCATCCTCACGTGTCTGAGCAGCCTGGGGTCGCATTCCTCTTGCATCCACGTCCTATAACGTTGTCTACAGTCCCATAAATGTTCTCTAAAACCTGAAGGCTCCTCAGGTACTAATGACGCTCAAACACTTAGTTTAAAGCATGACTAAAATGTAAAGGCTGCTTCTTTAAGGGGATCAATAAATTTGTACTTTTTTACAAGTTCTTTAGAAAATAATAATTTCATGCTCACTCCATCACACACTAAAGGCAAGCAGATACACATTAGGTAACTGGTTGTAACTTTGTTTTAAAGAGCTGTAACTAATTTATCCATGTTTGAATTTGGTTGTAACATTCTTTAAAAATATTCAGACCCATATGCCTTCTCTGTTTGGAGACACAAATGTATTGTAAAATTTAATTAAGAGTGTAAAACAACTACTGGTTGTGGTTAGCTGGATAGGGGTTTCATGATACTGGCTTTATTTTATTTATTTTTCATACCGAGAACAAGTACTTCAGTTTGGATACATGCTGATACTCGATACCGATACAGATTAGTTAATAAGTTAAAAATTACACAATAACTTAAGAAACTAAACAATCTGCCTGTGTTTCTCTTAAAATTACTTCAAACTACAGACATTTTTTATTTTTTGTCCCTGGTTACTTGCTAAGTGGAAGAGAACATGATGTCATCAAGACAGAGCTGCACAGACAGACTCAAAAACAGCTTCTTCCCATGTGCCATCTGGACTCTAAATACCCGTTAAACTCCCTAAGTGCAATATTCCTCTAGTGCAATATGTTTGGTCACTCACGGGATGTGCAATATATACAGTCTGCTTCCACTACCTTGCCTGTACTCTTCTGACCAGTTTGTCTCTGTGTTTTCAGGACTGACGTTTCTTGTGTATTTAATGTCTGCACTGATTGTTGTGTGTATATAAATACAGTATATGTACGTTGTCTTTTTTTTAATGAATACACTGTCAGATGAGGCACTTTTAATTTCATTGTTCAGGCTGTGCTATGACAAGAAAGAGTATTCTATCCTATTCTATCGAGCATGAAAGTGTAGTCTGACGTATTGGGATGTTTTTATGAGTACAAGTACGAGTACTTGAGGCTGGTGCTGAGCCCGATACCAGACACTACTGATATAAACTTTAAAAGCAAAAGGAAATATTTTTTAAATGGACCAACTAACTCTAAAACACATGCAGTGGTCTAGTCAAATCAAGTTTCTCATCCATGATGGTGGAGAACCAACCATCAACATCTAATGGTCTCCAGTCGTTTCCTGCAGGAGGAACAAACCTGCATTTGGTTGGTTCAGCTTTTTTTATTTTAAACCTTATACTCGTCTCTGAAGCATCAGGACGCCCATTGGAAAGAGTTCCTACCTGGAGGAGTTGGACAGAGAAACTGAGGAGCCCGAGGGGCGATGACGCCGACGGCCTCGAGGTGGAGAGCCCATCCCGGGACGTCTGCGGGGAGATTTGGACCGGCGCCACGGGTCCTTCCACTCGTCTGGTCTCCTCATAACTGGACCCATGTCCTTCTTAAATGGAGGTTCTATCAGCCTGCTGAGAAGATTGAAATGATCCGTTATCAACTCGTGTTGCAGCCGTCAGTCAACCGTTAAATTACTTCTCAAAGCCATTGACCCAAATTAGAAGGATGTTCTGAATTTCCTCAGGCTCCACAGCAAAAACAAGCGTTTCATAGTTCACAACGAGCAGGAAAAATTACCGAGTTAAAAAATCTGATTCGACGTAGTGTTGTATACGTTACTTCTTTCACAACAAATGGACCTCCTCTCTGCAGAAACAGCATTGGAAATAATAAAAAAATAAGTTATGATTACATACACATTAGGAAAGAAGAACCCCTAATACTACTAAATAAGATATATTTTTATATCTTACTATCGGACTTTTAAATGGACTGATTTATTTTCCAAATTTAAAAATTTAAAAGAAACTTTATTTTTTTCAAGTCTGAAAAAAAAAAAAGCCAGGACAGGATCCTGCAGCTTGACTGCAGCCTGAATTACCTTTTAGCTTTTCCTTTAATTGTTAAACAGCAGCTTATGCAAATAATGATTATAAATCAGGTTGTACATGACAATGAGCCTGGAGTTGGACTTGTAAACAAGCTACAGTGAACATTTTTAAACACGCAGCTCAAACATTGGTGTGAGTGGAGATAATGGAAAAGTCAGATCAGGTGTGTCCAGACGAGACCAGTTCTTCTGGAAACTCAGCACAGGTATTTTTAAATTAAATGAGAACAAAAAAAATAAAAAATCTTGGCTCATTTCTGTGAGCAAACAAGGATAAAACAGTCCCTCTCACTTTTACACGATGCACAGATGAGTCAAAAACTGAAAGGCTTTGCAAAAAGATGCTGAAGGTTTGTATGTGGAGCGACGACCTGCATGTTATAATTTATAATAAAAAACAGGAGTGGATTCAACCGTAACTCTCAGTACAGATAAATTATAAAATGTGCTGCTAAAAAAAAAAAAAACATGTTTGTTTATAACTAATCAATCAACAGGGCAAGCGGTACACGGATGACCCACATCTCTTGAGGGATTTGAACAGTGAATGTTTGTAGTTTTGGAGATGAGGGTTTTTCTGAACTGGACTTGAGGACTTGAACAGAGAATGAAGTAAACTTAAATGTTTTTGGTGTAAGATGTTCAAGTGCAGAGGAGTTACACGGAGGAGAAGAACAGAGGGAGGTTTGTTCCATAGAGCTCTTGGAGGGAGTAGTTTTATCACCACTAGAAGCAATGGAGGAGCCAGGGGGTGGCCAATGGTGGCTTTGGCCCCCATAAATTACTTTTTGGTCACCCCACTCATTAGAGGAAACTATGCTTTTAAGCATCCTGATGCATGCTCAATAATCCAGGTATATGAATATAACAAGGTGGAGTCAGGTCCTCTGGACAGATGCATGCTGAAACGTTTCGTCTTTTATCCAAAAGACTTCTTCAGTCTGAGGAGCTCCAACAAACTGAAGTCTTATAAAGATCCAGTCCCCCGGCACAAACAGTGTAATATTGTGTATGCTGTTCAGTGTCTGGAGGGCTGTGATCATTTCTACATCGGATAAACTAAACAGCCACTGGCCAAAAGGATGGCCCAGCTCAGAAGGGCAACATCATCAGGCCAAGACTCTGCGGTCGACATTCTTCAAATGATCAGGGCGGTCTGTTTACATACATGTATAGTGATGGCCAACTTGAATTTTGTGGCAACCCAGTTTCAAAAATAACCTTTTACACCTACATGCAGCCACACACCAGAATGGAAGTTGGTTCCTCACTTATTTTTCAGGGTATTGTGCTCACAACATGCACAAACAAGGGAGGGTATTAGTACCTACTCCTCTCCGCTCTGCGTCGAGGGACAAAATTTTATTCAGTCCATTTCTATTTCAATTTTTTTAAAATCAAATCCATCCATCACACAAAATGAAGCGTTCTATTTAAAACTTCTGAACGATTCCCTCGATCTGCTGCAGAAGCCTTCACCTACCCGAACATTAAATGATAAAATAATCATTACACTAAGGCTGCTGTTCATTTTCTGTTGTGTTATTATGTAATTTCCACATGCACAATGTACAACTATTCCCAGCAGAGAGGGGAATTTCCTCAGCTGTGAAATTAGTTATTTTTGTAAAGATGACATCAAGATTGGAGTGTTATCTCCATCTGTAAGACAAATATTTGTTGGCGGAGTGGATGTTCCCACTGGAGGAGTGTGTGAGGTAGAAGACGCTTTAAACCGTAGCTGAAGGAATCTCCACGTGCCTGAAGAGGAAGGTGAGGCCCGTCAGTGGGAGTCAAGAGCTTGTCCTGGTTTAATGCAACATGCTGTTACTGTGTAAACCGTGCAGCGCGTCACCAGATTACATCATGTCAGTCCACTCTCCAAGAATAAGCACATATCCTGCGTGTGACAGCACAAACCTGAACCTAACCCTCAGTGAATGACACCACAGGAATGAAACAAACGGGCTATTTTTATCACAACTCGCAGCTAAAAATAGAACCATGAGGCTATTTATAGCTTTAATTTCTGTTTCCTTTGAGGAAGGAATACATAAAGGAAGTAGGGCACATGAAGCCATAAAGGCAGCGGAGGACAACAAGAAACTACAGGATGTTTTAAGACTTCAGTGAATCGGCCAGATGGAAAAACTCAAACCATGGGTGGGCGCTCACTTTATGAGCTGAACTTTGCATAGCCCCAGACACTCAATATTCTGAGGTTGTATGAAGGGAAAAAGTGCAGCTGCTTTAAATGAGCCTGGTCCTGGAAAGTAGAGGAAAATCTTCAACCACCTCTGGTCGAGTCGATATGTTAATGACATGAAGAATAAATTAAACAGCAGTCAAAACAAGGTGTGAGCTCCCACCTGTTGACGATGCAGGTAGCAGAAATGTTTCAATTGTTTGGTGTTTGAGGTCAACAGAAGGTTCAGGAAAACCCACTGTTACAAAACCAGACCACGCCCAACAACAGAACTGAAAGGCCGGCCCCGGTCTTTATTCATACACTCTTTGTCCAGGTTACTCAATTCTATAATTACAAAGCACTAAAGTTATTTCATACTACATTTATTGAAACATTCAGTGCTTTCCCTACCGTTATTCCAGGAGGGCGCCTCGCCCTGTCAACAGAACCGAGCGCCCTGCCTAGCGAAATGTCCTCCATCCCCACCCCCTGCTAACATAGCGCTAAGCTAGCAACACAGACATGTATAACCTGTTGACAAAAATCCCAGAAGAGATGATTGCCCCGCCAAAGCAAGTCACCATGAGGAAACTGAACATGTTTTACTGCAACATGTCAAATAACCTCATCGATACCACTACACTGAGTTCTGGCTGGTTTCCAGTTTAAAGGTAGACCACGAGTTTTAAAATGGCGTTTCAAATGCTGCGTCACTGTTTCTGCAGAACAACTCGTTTTAACCAGATGAGTCAGTTGTAGAGTCAACCCCTTGCCTGCTGCGTAGAAAAGCCAAACGAGAGGATTCCCCTGAAACATTCCAGCACGATAAAGAAATAAAATTAGGTCCGTTTAAAATTATTGCAGTTGCCACAAAAACCAAACCAAAATGAGCAGGCCCTGTCCACCAGAGGGACACCACCCGTCCCTTTCTTTAAGGCAAGGTCTGAAACAAGTTGGTGCATCCATCACTCTAATAAACCATCAACTGCAAGTTACAATAATTTAATTCACTAAATAATCAACTCATTAAGCTCACAAACGAACAAACACCAACACAGAAGCGCCAATATTCAGCACAAACTGTACTTTTGCTTTAGCACTGTAAATAAAACTGGCAGGTGCTTTTTTTGTTTGTTTAAACATTCTACTTGTGTGATGATCAGTTAGAAATAAAATCCCCATCTCTGATCTGTGGTCAGGCCACAGAGACAAGTCCATGAGAGAAACCCAGACCTCCCTCTGCTCGGTCTCCAGCTCCTCCTGGGGGACCCTGAGGTGTTGCCAGACCAGAGAAGATACCTAATCCCTTCAGTGAGTTCAGGGTCTGACTGAGGGCCTCCTCCCAGTGGGATGTGTGCAGGAGGCATCCAGGTCAGATGAACCTCCTCAGCTGGCTCCTTTTGATGGACAGGAGCAGCAACTCTACTCCCGAGATCCACCTGGATGATGGAGCTCTTCCCCTTATCTCTAAGCCCCTCCCCACGAAAGGAGGCTCATTTCAGCTGCTTGGATCCAGGATCTGGTTCTGTTCTTTTGGTTCTGGTCCAAACATGACCACAGGTGATGGTTGGAATGCAGACAGACCACTAAATAATAAAAATAGATTTTGAAATGATTGCTTTAGCAATAACATCTTTATATGAGAAAATATTTAGGTGCAGAGGATGTATTGGTCATTTTCAGATTAAAAACAATAAGATCATGTGATGCAGCATTTTAAAATAATTGATCATGTGATCTTTTTACTTAAATTATTATAATTTTATGTTAAACTACTTCAGTTTAAACTGAATTAAACTTTCTTTTTAGTTAAAAAGGTCAGGCTTTAATAGATAAATTTCCAGCCATCAATAGATCTTTACATAGCTAAAGGAAAGCACCGGCAGCTAATGGCTAACGGTAATATGTAGCCTTTAAATCTCTTCTTGATTTTAAAGTTTGTTATGATGCTCCATAAGTATTCAACCAGCACGTTTAGCTGCAGCCTCTTTACCAAATGATGCAATTACGAGTCACTTCCTGTTGAACGTGATAGGTCTTTACAATCTTTGTGACAAAATGAATTACCGGTATTCAGAATCTAAAAATAAACACGATGGAAAAACTCACTGACAAAGAAAAAAGTGAAATTTAAAACACGTAAACTTGGGTGTGATCCTCACAGTGGATGGAACAGATTAATGAGATTTTATTCTGAGAATAACTTTAGGTCAGGTTAGAATTAATTGTTTCTTTCTGAACGAATGAGAGCCTAAAAGAAAAGTAAAATCAAACAGATGTTACTTGCACAAAAAAGTTAAATCAGTTCATCTGGACAGATTTGTCTTGATTGATTACTTACTTTGGTGGCAGGCTGAGGGGGGAGCGGGGCTTCACCTTCTCGTCCTCCTTCTTCTCCCTGGCATCTCGAGGAGGACGAATCCTCGGCCTCTCCTTCTCGTCTCGCTTCAGCCGGTCCCGCTCCCACTCCTCCTTCCGTCTCAGCCTCTCCTTCTCGCGCTCCCGCTCCCGTTCCCTCTCCCTCTCTCGTTGGCGCCGCTCCCGCTCGCGGTGATCTCGTTCGCGCTCGCGGTCTCTGTGGCGCTCGCGGAGCTCCCGCTCGCGGTCACGCTCCTGCAGAAGTGTTACAATTCAGTCCAGGTGTGAATCTGCTGCGCCGGACACAAACTGCTCGTTTTCAACGTTGAAGATGTTGAATCTAAACATTCCGAGTAGACGTCCATGAATGCACCACGACAAGATTCAAACCAGTAAAGATTTTATCCAAACATCATCCCCACGTTCTGTTGAACACTAAATGAGCCGAGTTAACAGAAGTTCCTGAATATGAGCTGGTAAAATAAACGATTCTTCACACCTTTGTGCTCAGGTGTTTTACAGAAACATGGCTGCTGAGTGGAGCCTTTCTGTCAAGGTTACTCACAGTGAAGTGGTAGGGCAGAGGACCTTCTGTGTACTGAACTCTGAAGTTTTCATACTGACCCCCCCGCCATAAGGCCTCCATCTCATAATCATAGTAAGGGTCAGCATAAGGATCGCTGTGAAGGAAACACACTGTTCAGACACTGGAGGCAGCTTCTGAAAGGGAAACTTCATCATATGGCATCTTTCACAGGATAAAAAAAACAACGAAACAACCAATTCACATAAAGGTACTCACTGTAAAGTATTACTATATCAAATGGTGCAGTTTAAACAAGTTTACTTAGTTTTCTAGATATTTATTGAAGTGCAAGTCAGCAGTCAATGTCAACAAGTGTTTGTGTCACGTGTAGTCTGTAAACAAACGGAGGAATGTGAAAGGACATCTCGGTGAAATTATCAGAGTAAATCTAAAAAAGTTAAGTCAGGTCCTCTGGACGTTCAAAAAACAAAACAAAATAAATAATTATATATATATATGTTTTGTTTTTTTGAACGTCCAGAGGACCTGACTTAACTTTTTTTTAGATTTTTCTACCTGGATTATTGAGCATGCATCAATGATATCAGAGTAAATCTGCTGCTAAAGAAAAGAGAAAGGAGTGGAGCGACTGTTGGGAATAAATATGAGACGAAGCAGGACGGTCCGACGTCACGAGGACGTCGTCATCTAACCCGTCTGCAGATTCTACTCCACAAACATGAGCTTAAAAACAAACCAACGTGAAATCTGTCGGAGTTCATCCAAAACTTCCATGGACGTCACCACTGATCATCTATTTTCAGTCTCTTCGGCTGTTTCCAAAGGTAAACAAACACACAAAGTGGTAGCTGGCACAGACTGTGCTTGCAAATTTTTTATTAAGTGATAAAATGTTGTGCACATTTGGTTTCTTTCTTTATGAATTTTAACACTATTTTATTATAATATTAACTGTGTGAATGTTTATGAAGCGTTCAATGCTGTGATCCATTTTCCTTCTGTGCGTTTCTCGTCCAGCAGTTATTGAAGTTATTTCAACAAATCATAAACCAAAACGTTCAGCTCTTTCAGGACAGTCCTATGACGACTTTTGGTATTGATGCAACTTTAGCTTTTTGAAATATTTAGCCTTTTCTTAAATCAAATATGAATTTAGCTCATTTTACATCCTTCAAATCTTTAGATCCATTTACAACCTTTTACTGCTCCTTTCACGTTTTGTTCTGGTTCACCTTCTTTGTGCAAATTAAAAAAAAAAAATTCAGCTACTTTCAGCTGTTTTGTGCTCCTTTCAGATTCTTTCTGCTAACTACAACCTTTTTGTGCTTCTTTTAACTTATATCTGCTAATTTCAGCTTTTGCTGCTATTTCAGCTACATATAGCTGTTTTATGCTGATTTAAGCTTTTTCAGCTAATTCCACATTTTTTGCACTCATTTAAAAAATGTTCAGCCTAATTCAGCAAAACTGTGCTCTCTCCACTTCCTTCTTGTAATTTCAGCTTCTTTCGACCTTTTTAGCTACTTTTCAACTGTTTTTATTTCAGCTTTGTTCATATAATTTCTATTTTTTGTGCTAATTTCTGCTTCTTTCAGCCTAATTGGGTAAACATTTTCTTTCTTTCTGCTAATTTGAGCTTGTTCTACCTTTTCAGCTACTTTTTCAGCTACTTTTTAACTAATTTTAGCTGATTTCAGATCAAGTTTTTCTTGGTAATTCCTGTTACTTTCAGCCTGATTACCAGTAATTTCAGCTTGCTAATTACAGCTTGTTCATTCAACCTTTATTTATACAGGTTAGTCTCACTGAGCCTCAAGGACTCATTTACAAGAGAGACCTGTGTTGTTATGCTCCTTTTAGCTTTTTTCATCTAGTTTCAGCTACTATTTTTACCATTTCAGCTACTGTTTTTATACAAATTGTAGCTTTTTCAGCCAATTCCACATTTTTGAGCTCCTTTCAGCTCTTTCTCGTAGGTTAAGCTTCTTTTTGCCTTTTCAACTACTTTTTAGATGTTTTTTTTACCTCATTTGCTATTTTTTTTAACTTATTTCTGTTTATTCTTTCTGCTTTCTTCTGCTAATTTAGGTTTATTCTTCCATTTCAGCTGCATTTAAGCATGTTTTTAGCTAATTGCAGCTGTTTTCCAGCAAATTCTTCTGCAATAAGCATTAACACTGCATTTTCACAGGAAATGAAATTTCTTTAGTATTCTTTGTTGTTGTTGTGTGTAAATCTGGAAACTGCTGAAATGAATTGCCTTTAGGGGATAAATAAAGTTCTCTGAATTTAATACTATTGTTCTGTCTTGCTTTGTGGAATTTCTGCCCAAAATAAACTATTTGGTTTCAAATTTCAAATTAATCCACTAACTGTTCAAAATGTTTTACAAGTCATGATTGGATGAACTTCTGACAGATTTCCCATCGGAGGTAAAAATAAAAACTGCCACAAACCAAGAATTATAGCAGAGTTTATATTCCTGACAAAGAATATATCACCGAGATGAAAAATGGAAAGTTTTATTTACACTCACCCATAAACAGGATCTCTCAAGTCCATTTCACTGAAAGAGAAACATCAATGAATAGTCTACAATATTTTTTTAAGAACAATATTTGTATATTCTTGGTGTTCTTGTTGGTTCAGGACCCTGAGTTATAATTTAAAGTTATTTTAAGCTGCTAAAATACAAGAAGATGAAAGCTTTAAACTTTATTTTTCAGATGTGATACTAGAGCACAGCATCATAAATGATCAAAATGTTGATTTAGATTAAATGTGATGGAGCCAGAGCTGAACACCACCCACACACGTACTCTCTGATGATGTGGTAGCTGCGTTCCCTGAAGAACTCGTTCTCTTTGTCCAACTCTTTCTCATCCTCCCCGATTGTCACATTGAAACGTTTTTCCTCAAAGTCGGGCTCCTGCTCCTTACGGATGTTGGCCTTCTTCAGGACCTAACGGAGACAGAAGACACCACCCTGATGAACAGAAGCACCTCCTTCAAAAGGTTTCTGACAGTCTTGGAACATTTCGGAGACTCTCAGAAAAGCCGCCGCTAAGATTGTGTGTGAGGGAGTAGGCGGGGCTTAAAGTCTTGCATCTTTAGTGGACAGATCCTGTCCAAAAGTGCAACATGGCAGATCCTGCTGGCATTAGGATCCAAAAAAAAAAAAGGGGGGGGGGGGGGGGGGAGACACCTGGTCTGTTACTTTAACACACAGTCGATGGTTCAAGCCTGAAGAATATTTAGTGGGGTTTCTAACAAAACTCTTTCCATTTAGGAGACACATCATGCAACTTAAATCTATATTTTCAGCTAGTATAACTGATTTAATGTTAAATTTATTAATCTTATGATCCATAGCAATAACAAAAATTGTACAGTAGTCACTTTGATTTAAGAAATAAAGTTAGAAAACTGAATGGAAGGGTTAAATATCTCCCCAAAAAATACATGCTTCAACACACCAACATATTCAGCATTTCTAAGCAGACAGATGATGGAAACACGTTAGACCAACAACATGCATGTTAGGCTGCCTTCAGGCTCAGGCCTCCCTTGCAAAAGAGATCTGTGATCTCAATGGGATTTGACTGGTTAAATAAAGGTTAATAAATAAATAATAATCCGAGATTAAATGATTAAAATGTACACCGACGGTGTAATGGCTGTGATTAGTCTTTGATGTTGGGGACTATTCACCATTTTATTATGTGGAAGCAGAAACAGCTGATTGGTCATGTGATAACTAATGAGCATCTTTCTTTACAAAACATCTAAAACAATTAGCAGAAGGTTGAACCTTCTGATAAAATGCTGCGTTTTAATGTGACAGAATACAACACGGACAGCAACTACAACAAGGTTGTCAGGAAGAAGCCACTCAAAGGGTCCCCTGGCTGGAAATGGTGAAAACACAATAAACCTGCACATGGTGCGGTTTGCAACCTGTTCCCGTCTGTAGCGTGGTAAAATAATCAGTCAGCCACACACTCAAAAGAACACACACACAGTGCACGTGTGTGTGCATGCCCACACACAGAAAGCCAAAGCAGCTCCGTCTGATTTGCATGGAGGACAGTGGGAGTCTGTTCAACAGGCTGACTCTGTTTAAATCTGTTAAAGATTTTTACACTTTGATAAATCCTACAGTTAGAGCTGGTTGTGTACAAGACTTCAGTAGAAGTACACAGTATAGTGTGTACATCCATCCATCCATCATCTTCCGCTTATTCCGAAGTCGGGTGGCGGGGGCAGCAGCTTGAGCAGGGAGGCCCAGACATCTTTCCACAGCCTCCTCTTCCAGCTCTTCTGGGAGGATTCCAGGGCGTTCCCAGGCCAACAGAGAAACATGGTCTCTCCAGTGTGTCCTGGGTCTTCCCCGGGGTCTCCTCCCAGTTGGACATGCCCGAAGCACCTCTCTAGGGAGGCGCCACCTCAACGGGCTCATGACCTAGTAAAAGTACACAGTATAGTGTGTACATGACCTCAGTAAAAGTACACAGTACATAGTGTCTCTAACGAACATCTTTCTGACGAGACGGTTTGAACAACTTTTCTCTAGTTTAAGTTTAGAGGTCGTCAGATGTATTCTAATAAATTATAACACATGAAGTCCCTTGAAGAGTATAAATTAACAAAATTACTTTAATTAAATTTTCCAGACCGACAAATTTCTCCCTTGAAATTATTTCATTCAAAGGGATTATATTTACAGGACTCTTCGGGAGTGGTGGCGCAGAGGTTAGAGAAGGTGAGCCTGTGATCGGAAGATCGCTGGTTCAACTCCCGGAACAGACAACATCGAAATGTGGGTGGAATAGGTGAAGCACCCACACCTGCCTCCACCTTCGTTTGCCCCACTCTGGGCCCTTGAGCAAGGCCCTTAACCCCCCACCATCTGCTTCCCTGGGCGCCCTAGATAGCAGCTCTCTGCTCCACACAGAGGCTGTGGTAGCTCAGTGGTTGTGTCAGAAGGACATCCATCCATCCATTTTCTTCCGCTTATCCGGGGTCAGGTCGTGGGGGTAGCAGCCTAAGTAGGGAGGCCCAGACTTCCCTCTCCCCAGCCACTTGGGCCAGCTCTTCCGGGGGAATCCCGAGGCGTTCCCAGGCCAGCCGAGAAACATAGTCCCTCCAGCGTGTCCTGGGTCTTCCTCTGGGCCTCC